TATTATGCAGGTATTACATCCAGTTGGATTCTTTCTTCTCTTCTTCGGTAGTCAAAATTTCAGTCTCTGGTGCTTCAACAATAGTGGTAGGTACTTGTAGATTAACTGTTTTTGAGTTCGTATTCTTTCTCTCTGGGACTTCATTATCATCAAGATACAGTGCACTCAAAGCATTTGCTTCTATCATTCTCGACTTTCTTCTTTCCATTTGGTTCATGAAGAGCCTTTTGGGTTGATCGGTTTCTCCAACACTTCCACTTCTATCATATACCGAAGCGAGCTGTTCCAATGACACTGAAAATGGGGGATGGATTGAAGTTTTATGAATATTCAAGTTTCAACGTACTTTCTGGATGAACACTCATGATTCGATTCTTTCTTCCCACTGGAAGGTGTTTGCTATGGTTTACTTTGGTATCTGGTGCCGATTCAAAATCATGCCATCCATGACCATAAGCATGAAGTGGGTAGGCTGATTCTCCGTGTTTATAAATGTCCAATCCATTAATCTCAACCTCCTCAGACACGCGGAGTTTGCCAATCTTCTTCAAAAGTCCGAAAATCGGCCACATCCAAAGAATCGACCATGTCACAATTGCCAACGCGCAGACCCATTGCCAACCAAGTTGCTGAAAAATCGAAATCTTATTCTGAGAATCCGTACAAAAATCGTACTGCAAAAGCTTGAGCAATTTGATCACCACCATCTGTAGCACCACCAATAGTATTTCCAATAGCGTAGACAACTCCATCATGTCCAATTATAGCAACAGAGGTGAGTCCCCAGAAACCGCCACCAGCATGAACAGCAAAGGCGTCAAGTGGATCGTCGATTCTCCATCTGAAAATTGTATTTGAAAAGTGTTTTTCTTCCTTTTTTGGCACTATTACCTAATCATAACCTTGCTAAGAGTTAAATAAATAAGTCCAGCTCCAACTCCAACAAAGATACATGCCCATGGCTCCATTTTATTACATCCGGCACACGAAGAAACCATTCCAGCGAGACAGGCGTTAATGGTAAGAAGGAGGGTCCATTTTCCATGGTACAAGTAGTGAGCAATAAGGTAGGTCAACGCAGCGAACGCCCCACTCAGAATTGTATTAACCATTGCCAATGCAACAATATGTCCCTCTCCAGGTTTTACGATGTCAGCCATGGATCCTCCGTTGAAAGCAAGGAAACCAAACATCAAAATGAATCCTCCCAAAGCGGCGAACTATAAAAGTCACATTTGATCTCCTTTAGAGTGCAAAAACTGTCAATTAGACCGTTTTTAAATGTTCTTAATATTATAATGCCGACTCTCCATTTTTCCATGTTTTCTCATCAAAATCAAACAATCAAAAAAATCAAACGATTATGAAAACGGGGCATTTTTAGAAAAATTGTTATCACCGATTCAGTATTTTCTATTTTCTATTTTCTTGAACTGATAATAAATTCATTAACCGTTGCTCCCGCATTGATCAATTTTTGATATCGCTACTCACCGGAACCGAGTGACCAAGAATCTCATCAGACTCGTCATCCTCGTCTTCTGGGAATCTTCCAATTCTGGGACCGATGATGTATGCGGCCAAGAACGAGATGGATCCACCGCAAAGATGGACAACTCCAGAACCGGCAAAGTCCTGAAAGAAATTAACGAAAACTTCCTTGTTGCTAACTGTCACATTTACTAACGTCATAATGAGTGTTTACAACTCCGCTTGTGATTCCAAGAGCCATCCATCCCTTTGGATGCCATCCCCAATGGGTAAGAATTGGGTAGACAAGAGCTAAAATATCAACTATACGTTGATGTCTACGTTTTGTTTAGGTCTAACTTGAGATAACCGAACAATATGTGATGTAATTCGCGAATTCGCATCGCTCAGCAACCGCTCCCGACACAATTGTTGCTGACGTCGCGGCGAACACGTATTGGAAGAAGAATCTGGAAAAACACAAAAATAGAGATAATCTCGCTATAGTTATCCTTTCTTTTATCTATTGTTGCTCATCTGCAGAAGTCTTTGGGTTTTTGAGACCAAGTGAGAGAATGTACTAATCGTCTCAAATTAAGATAATGCCGCCGAGGAAATCGCCGAGGAAAAATCCAAAGAGGCTTATTATGATAACGCGCTTTCGTATCAGTTTGAGTTTGTCACTATATTGTTTCGGTTCTCTGCACTTTTGATTTCTTATGACTACATGAAAACATTCAAAACATCAGATTCGTTCGAGAACATTGCGTTTCCCTAGGAATTTAAACATCTGGCTGATCTCTTGAATTCCTAAACATGGATTCTCACTTTGGATAATTTGAGAAATTGGCCAAGAAGAACTGTGAGTATCCTACGAACAACCCGATTGTGTTATTTGGGCAGTCTCCAAACGCCAGCGCCCATCCAAGTGCCCAATATCCAACGATTGCAATACCTAGAAAACAAAAAACAACATTTTGATCTCTGGATTTTAAATTTCAATGTCACATTCTTGCTAATGTGAGAGACTTACACGAATCCAGCAGATTTTTGATCAAAATGTTGGTAGTGTTTTTGCTACGCACTGCACCTGCTTCAAGAAACGCGAAACCGCACTGCATGACTAAAATAAGGATCGAACGTAAAGGTCATTTGACTCATATTGGAACTTACGAAAAATGATAAGCGACATGGAGCACAAGAAGAATGCGTTGTCGTTTTCAGAAAAGTCCTCTTTCATTTCGTCGATTTCCTGTTGCAGCATTATTATCTGCGCGGTATAGTTAGGTGCTGCTGCCATGTTGGGTCTGTAAAAGTGATTTTGTAATGTTCCCTTTAAAAGCAGAAAAGGAGAATGGGAGAGCAGTGAAGAATGGTTAGGCACAACCTGACAACTCAGTTTGCACCTAAAAAATATGTCTTATCGACGCTACGGTACGTCTGAAAATAATAAAATAGAGAATGGTCATAAAAATCCATAAACCGACAATCTCTTTTATGGCACTCCTTAATAGCTCTGCCAATGTTGCAACGTTTTTGGAGTGAGATGATGTTTGGAACCATTGCACCGTCGAGTGCGAAGAGTTGCGCCAAACCGAGCTCCGAGAAAAATTGGTTATGATTTTTCTGTTATCACTTAAACAGTCGGTTGGTTATCTATCGGAATTTACACCCTGCTGTCCACTTATTCTTAAGACCAAACAATCGGAAATTAGTGAGAAAAAAGGGGGCGGTTTGATGCTTTGAGCTTCGAACTCGTTACTGATAAGCAGACCAATTCTGTACTAGGTACTAGTTATCTGACGCAATTATTTGGTGGCTCTCTGTGTTGCTCTGTAGTTCCGGAGTTCAAACGCCCTCACGTGTAGTTGTTTCTAAATTTAGCAATTTGTAGTAGGTGGTTTTTATTTTCATTTAGTAGGTGGTCAGTTTTTTTTCGGTTGACAGAATCTTAGCCAAGTTTTTGCAGAACTTTAAAAAAGTAAAGTATAAGAAAAATCGTTTTTGCTTGATTGAACCTAAGATATAAAGTTGTATTTTTTTAGAATATTTTATTCATAGAAATTGGACCTTTAAAAATTTTCTAAGTTACTCGAATTTAGAAAGCGGAATTTTCTGGGCTTTTTTTTCTGGGCTAGTCAGACTTGTCAATTTTCGAGCCGGGTCAGGGCCAGTTCGAAAAAATTCTTGAGCAAAATGAGTTGAAATACCCCACCCTTGACTTATCGAACCTTTTAAATTTATCGAACCTTTGGAATTTCATGAATATTTCTTAAAAAATTCCAAAAATTTCCGAAAACTTCAAAACTTTGAAATTTCAGAATATGAGCCCAGACCGACACAGTTCTTAACAAATATGCCTCTAGCCTCAAATGGAGGGGGCCCATAGGTAAAAATGTGGATTAAGTTAAGATTTACCTATTTTTCTAGTTTTTCGAATGTTTCTATAAAAATTTCGTACTTTGCGCTTGTTTCCACAAAAATTTGTCACTTCAAAAAATTTCAGTTTAGGCCGGTTTTTTGTATGAATAACACTATTTTTTCCATTGTAACTGTGTAATTTGAAGTTATTCAGCTAGTTTCAGATTTTTCCAGGCGCAGTAACAAAAAAATAGACAAAAAATATGCAAAAAATGACATAAACTGAAATTTTCAAAAAATTATGAAAAGTGTTCAAAGTTCGAAATTTTAATGGTTCGAAATTTTATTGGTGAATCTTAACTTAGTCTACATTTTTACCTATGCCCCCCCCCCTTTTTTCATGGGCCCTCCTTGTCATAAAGAGGCATTTTTTACATATCCCTGTGTATCATAACAACACTTGATATTATCATATTTTGTCAATACCATCAGACATTTAGCAGAAGAAGATTTGAACTCGATATTAACAGTTTTGAGCCAGATAATACCCTAATCGGATAGTCTATTTTTTCGCTCAGCGACATTTCCAGCTCGTCAATGTTTACCAACTTCTCAAAGATCTGAAATGGAGATCAAAAGTATAAGAAATCCAGTGCAGACTTATTTTCCACCTAGACTTTACGCATTTTCTATTGTTTCGTTGGTTAACACATGTCAGAAATCATAAAAATGTCTGGGTGCGATTACATAGAAAACATTTTGAACTGCTAGTCACCATGTGTTTTGTCTCCACTTTCCAGGAAGTTACGGTGATATGGATAGCAATTTTTTCATGTTAGTCACTCAGTGTTGTAACATCTGCCCCCGAGAAACATTTCAAAACTATACACTCATTGTACCCAACAACGACGCGTAAAAAACTTCCCGGTGAAAACACTGAAACAAAATTTCTACTTCTTTAGCAAATGCCAATGTCTGCAACTGAAAAATGTCGAAAAAGTTTGTGTGATCTCGAGTTATTTTGGGCGTTACATTTACAACCATCAGATCACCTGCTAGAGCAAAAATTTGTGTTGTGCGTTTCATGAAGTGAAGTGCCCCGTATCAAAAACAATTGCTCATAATCATAATTATGCTAGACAAATCTGAAAATTTCAAAAACATGACAGAACACAATGGAAACGGTTGATCATTTATTCCGGAACGATAATAACGAATCGATTAACAAAATTACGATTGTGTGTGAGTGGAGGGATACAAAATACACGGTTGATGCAAAAAAGGTTCAGAATGAGTGATGAGTAAAAGTAAGAGGAGTGATAAATATAGGAACATATGTTTATTTAACTATTTTGCAAGGAATGGTAGATCCACCTGATGGTATGATCTTCAAAGTTTCTAGAAATGTTTTTCTTGTTGGTTCCATATTTTCCAACAGACAAACAATAAGCGAGACAAAAGAAAATATGTGATTTAAAGAATAAGTAAATGGGGCCGTTAGGGGTGAAGTGATGATTCAGATTCGTCGCCGTCTCTCCTTGATGTCATCCAGCGTTTGCACGTCTTCGCTGTACAGTGGAACTGGGGCTGTTGGCTCGACAGACTGAACTGGCTTCTTGGCTGAGAAAATCTTCATGCATGACTGGAATCGCTCGTTACGGAAACAGTTATTACGGCACTCGACACGGGTGTTTGGAGCAAAGTGTGAGTGGAGTTCGTGGCACAGGTGACAAATTCGGTCCATGATCGTGTGCACCATTTCGAATTCTTGTGGAGCACAGTCCTGCAAACAAAAAGTTGTGATATTTGGTCAAAGAGAGAGAGAGAGAGAGGAGAACAGCTGATATTTAATGGATGGCTAAAGAGGACATCGTCACTTGAACTCTTACCATGTCATCGATGTAGGTACGCTTGACTCGATGCTTAGTCTTTATGTGATGAAGTTCTTGGGGCTGAAATTTTCTATTGCTTGTTAGTCAGACAACCTAGTTGAACTTACAATGTCTTGAAAGTGATTCAGTGCTGGCATCGGTCCTACAGAAGCACAGTCGACCGCCAAAAGGCAAGACAGGACAGCGAGAAAAGCGCACTTGGAAATTGCACACATTTTTTCAAACACAAGGGGGCCCTCGTTTGTAGGTTGCTGGAAAAATGGAAAAAGATAATAATTGCATAATTAAGTGAGAGAAAAGGGGTCCAAATTTAGAGAGTAGAAATGATGCAAACGTTACTGAAAAGGATACGCTCTCTCTGGAGAGTCACTAATTGGTCTCTTTTTATATCGAGGAAGCTGGGATGCAGACAGTGTTCGTAACAAGATAAGAAGATAAAAAACAGATTAGATCTTGGCATTTTGGGATAAACAGAGCGAGGAAGAAATCACTCTACTATTTATTGCTGATTGGATTTTGGAAGCTCAATCATCAGAAAACAAGGGGTGGGGTTAAACAACCGATGCAGAGAGAAAGCTGTTTCTATTTTCTAAGAAGTTGATTTTTAGAAGTAAAGTTTGAATATTTGAAATGATTCTAAGAATATTTAGTTTCCAGGAGGAGAGGCTATATATGATACATGAGAATCAGAGCGTTCATAGAAACGTTTCTACTCAGGCTTCATGAAAACCGAAAAACATCTGGGAAAGCATGAGCTTGGGAAGCTCCACCAAGCAAGAATGAACCTTCTTCGTGCCACAATCCGACACTTTTGAATCAGACCAGAACAGGGGCGGTTCCATTTGACGCCGCCTACCCATTCATACGTTGTCGCCGCACACGCTCTACGTAACACCGGCTCTTTTTCACCTGGACAGAATGCAAAAAAAAAACTCTCGGAGAGCCGTTACAGAATCGGGATTAGACTTAGTGTGAGAGGAAAGCGAGGGAGAAACGAAGTGCAACGGTTTTATAGAACTCATTGGATATTCTGACGGCCTGTGAGGTGGCAGGAAGTGGCATTTTTTTGGGGTGAGAATGAGTATTTTGGAAACTTCATCAACGTAAACAATCACCTGGATGGATGGATGAGTATGATGTTAGAAATCTATTATGGAACAAATGTTTGAAAACATTGAGGCGGAATAAAATATCTGAGTGGCATTCTTAACATCAAGACTAAATTTCTTATAATGTCATCTGTTGTCACTTGTCAAAAACACGTCGAATAAGGAACCTCAACACCTTCTTAACCCAGATTTTAAGGAAAATTTACGTTGAGGTTATCCTATCTAGACACTTTCGAAAAATTTAAAATTTGCTCAGCCGAGTTATATCAGTTTCAGTTCCAAAACGCTTTTTGCAAAACAGCAATTTCCAAAAACGATGTTCTCAACTTCAGGACATCCTAGAAAATAAAATTCGTTGTGTTGCTTAGAATTAAACGATATTTTTCAAATTTACGAACTTTTCTCCACTTGGATGTATTTGAAAATTGAAAAACTTCAAAGAATCGTCAGGAATATGAAATCTTGTCAAATGAGCATAGCGCAACAAGTTTCTTGTTCTGAAACGTTCTAAAAGAGTCGTATTTGCAATTTGCTGTTTTGACACTGAAAACGCTATTCTTAGTACTGAAACGGATATAACTCGGCTGAAACTGGTGAGCGGATTCTAAAATTTCCAAAGTTTCCTAGATAAGATGCCTTAACCTATCCTGAAACTTCCATTAAACTTTATATTTAAGAGGTATTGAGGTTCCTTTGTAAATTTGAAAATTGTTGCTAGATCAAAAATTCACCGTTAAAACTACATAGAACAAAAACAAGCAAAATATTGAGATAACTAAAAATCCGTAATAGGAATCTTCATTTCTAATAAGTGTCTTCTGTTTTTGCTAGATTCATTATGGGCCCACGAGTCTCAATGGAATTGAATTGGCGGCGGTAAAATTCAATATTCCCGCCTACCGCCAGGAAACGAAAACAAAGGAACACAGGGGTAACTGTAGGATTGAACTGAACAAATGGATTTGTTTTGTTTTGTTTTGTTTTGGCATCCATGGAAAAAAACTACAGTACTCTACTTGTCAAGAGAAAACAACTACTCACCTTTTTAGTCGGAGTAAAGTACAAATATTAGGTTGGCGGGAAAGTCTTTGTCACTTTTTCAATAGTTTATTTCTCAAAGAAAAAATAACCGAATAATTAATTATATTGTCCATCATTATCAACAACATGTCTCCAACGTTCCCTCAATTTATGGATTCCATTGCGGTAGAATCCAGCCGGGCGTGAGGCAAAGTATTGTTTGAGTGCCGCTTCGACCGCTCCACGGGAATTGAAGCTTCTTCCTTCGAAGGCACGTGTCATATCGCCAAATAACCAATGGTCGGAAGGAGCAAGATCAGGAGAATACGGGGGGTGAGGGAGAACATTCCATCCATATCCCATGCTTCACTTGTTTCGAAACATGTGGGCGAGCGTTATCATGTTGATAGTACACTTTCTTGTCTTTCAGGGCCGAACGGTCGACTGCTTTCTTGAGGTTTCGTAGTTGAGTAGTGTAGAGGTCTCCAGTTATTGTTTTGCCCTCGGGCAGAAGTTCCCAGTAGATGGGGCCGTCCACTCCCCACCACACAGAGAGCATAACTTTTTTCGGATGAAGGTCGGGTTTGGGGACATCCTGTGGGCTCTCTCCTTCTCCAACCCACTGGGATTTCCTGTGGTGATTATCGTAGAAGACCCACTTCTCATCTCCGGTTATTAGCCGGTCCAGCCATCGATCGCCCGCGTGGAGAGTGAGAAGAGTAATCGAATCGTCGACTCGGCGGTCAAGGTTGGCTTGAGTCAGGTGATGACGTATGAATCGACCAAAAAGTTTTCTCATTCCAAGAGACTTCAAACCTTCAAGGACTGTGCTATGGTGAACTCCGAATGTGACAGCTAGTTCACGGCTAGATTGAAATGGATCCGATTGCAATGCGTGCTTCAGCTTGTCCAAATCCAACTCACGGGGTCTCCCAGAGCGATCCTTTTCATCGAGCGAGAAGTCATCTTTTTCGAAACGATGGAACCAATTGCGAATAGTATTGTAGTGAGGGGCATGTGTGTTGCACACATTCTTCAAGAAAGTTTCCGAATCCTTCATCGTGGTGTGAGATAGGAAGAGGTAAATCAAAACATGTCTGATGTGAATAGCAGTGGGAACAAACATATCGTTTCAATTACAGATGAGGAGCAGAGAAGGAAATGGGGACTTGTTTATATGGAAGGTTCTTATCACCTTGTTATTCACTAGAGTCGATATCATACACAGCCTCCATATACGAGAACAGTGATTAAACAAACAGAGTGACAAAGACTTTCCCGCCAACCTAATAATATTGCACTGCAAAAATAATAATAAAATCAAGAATTTCGGTGCTTCACTGATGCTAAACGACTTCAAAAATAGCTGTTTTGGTTTTGGCCCCTCGTCTAGATTTGATTTTGAGGATTCGAATCTGCGGTCAAATTCGAATAACAATAGGAAGCCATTTAAAATAAGAAATTTCTACAACTCCTCTTTCAAAACACGTGATGTAATAGGGCCCAAGAACTAAAAATGAGGATTCTGTGCTTCGTTTTCCGATATCTGGCTCAGTTTTGAAAATTGTTTTCGTTCTAACTAGCACAGAACAAATCACAATGTGACTGATTGACAAATTGAAGCCGTTGTATTTTTTTGTCGTTTTGTCGGACCATGCAGGAAACAATATTTATCACAAAAAAAGAAGGCAACATTAGAAAATAGTGAAATGACGTCAGGGTGGAAATAATGAGTTTCAAAAAAGAAACGAAAAGTTAAATGCGGAGTCACAATAAAGACTTCTAGGATCAATTGCAATTGAGTGTTGGGTTTTTAAGGCTACGTTTTTTTTTATATTGAAGCTATTGCAACACGACAAGTAAAGTAGATTCAGGGTCGATTTTTTTGGGTTGTCCACCAGTTTCTAAGATTGCAGTAAATAAACAATGTCATAAAAAGAAGAAGCACTTAAAATTATTAAGCGGATATTAAATTACAAGCAGGAAGAATTATGTACAAGGATGTTTGCAAGATTATCATGAAAAGCTGGGTAACACGCTCGAAAAGGGGAAAAGAAAATCGTCTGTAGGTTTTGATCGGCTTTGGATTTAAAAATATTGAAATTTTGATACTGATTTGGGTAGAGAGCTCACTTGATTTTTGGTAGTTCGAAGGGATTGATTTTGGG